TAGAGGACCAAATAGGTCTAAATGGGTTTGTCAGTGGTGCCATTCCTGATGCAGAGATTGCTCAGCCTCTGTGACTCGTGGGCTCAGCGCTGATCGTTTCCCCGCTGGGGACGCCCTGCCGTGGCACCAGCCCGGTGCCCCTGCCCTGCCCGATGCCCTCTCTGTTTTCCCAGGTATTTCTTCCCCCGGCAGCTCCTGCTCCGGCACTTCTGGACGCCCGGGCAGCAGCAGGAGTTCCTGGCCGCCTCCGAGCGCCGCCGCCGCGCCGCCCACCCGGCCGTGCTGCGGGCGCTGGCGCGGGCGGCGCGCGCCCTGCCCGAGCCCCAGCCCCGGCACCTCCTGCTGCAGCTCTGTGCCCAGGTCTGTGCCACCCCCCGCCCCGGGCTGGGCTTTGAAACGGGGGGAACGTTTGGGCAAGTACGGTTAAATATTTATTTTTATATATATAATTAATAATCTGATGTGTTAAATGAAATAAATTCATTTTTGGGGTTTTTTTTTTTGGGGGGGGGTTAAGAGTGAGGTAATATCAGCGGTCTTTGTTATGGGGTTGGGTTCTCCTGTTGTGGTGGGGAGAATGGGTTTTTATTTTGGTTTTTTGTTGGTTTTTTTAGCTGGGTGTTGGATAACAGGGGAACTGTTGTAGCTGGTCCCGTTGTGGGAAGTTTGTTTATTTTATTTTAGCAGTTATTAGGTAGAAAATGGGGGAGGCTGTGCAGCTGTGGGTGGAGTAGGGAAAGGTGCAGGGCCGGCCCACGTTAATTTTAAAATTAAAAATAATCCCTAAATTAACAAATTAAAGTCACTGCACACTGTTTAGTAAGGAATGACAAAAAGTCAGGAAGCTGAGAGGCACGAGAGCAGGCTTTTGGTCATTTAATCAATGCAGTTCACCTGATGGGCTAATTAATCAATGCAGTTCACCTGATGGGCTAATTAATCAATGCAGTTCACCTGATGGGCTAATCAATCAATGCATTTCACCTGATGGGCTAATTAATCAATGCAGTTCACCTGGTTGGTCATTCAGCCAATACATTTCACCTGATTGGCTAATTAATCAATGCATTTCACCTGATGGACTAATTAATCAATGCAGTTCACCTGATTGGCTAATTAATTAATGCATTTCACCTGGTTGGTCATTCAGTCAATACATTTCACCTGATTAGTCACTTAATTAATGCATTTGACCTGATTAGTCACTTAATGCATTTCACTGGATTGGTTAATTAATCAGCAGATTTCACCTGATTGGTCCTTTAAACAATACATTTTATCTGACTGGTAATTTAATCAGTGCATTTCACCTGATTGGTCATTTAATCAATTGATTTCACTTGATTGGCTAATTAATCAATGCATTTCACCTGATTGGTCATTTAAACAATACATTTTACCTGATTAGTCACTTAATCAATGCATTTCACCTGATGGGTCACTTAATCAGTACATGTCACCTGATTGGCTAATTAATCAATGCATTTCACCTGATGGGTCACTTAATCAGTACATGTCACCTGATTGGTTAATTAATCAATGCATTTCACCTGATTGGTCATTTAAACAATATATTTTACCTGATTGGTCATTTAATCAATTGGTTTCACCTGATTGGTCACTTGATCAATGCATTTCACCTGATTGGCTAATTTATCAGCGTGTTTCACCTGATTGGCTAATTAATCAATGCAGTTCACCTGATTGGTCACTTAATCAGTGCATATCACCTGATCGGTTAATTAATCAATGCATTTCACCTGATTGGTCACTTAATCAGTGCATATCAC